AATGCAGCGATTCGTCCCAGCGCTACACATGCATCTACGCATCTTGCATGTTGACGACTGTCGCAATTTAACACATAGCACTTTATTTTATTAGTTTTTACGCAGTCTTCAACTCAAAAGTCACTCACAAATTGCAAATTAACACAATTTAAACTGATTTTTTACTTATAATTCAAATTCCTCTTTCGCGGATTTGTAAACAAAGGTTTGTTTACAAGTTACCACAATTGTCAAAATCGGCAAAACCAAAGTAGCGGCATGATCCAATAATTAAAGGTTTGCTCATTATTGAAATTAGAGTTTTGACACTGTCAGGAATTGTCTGCAAGATTTCCGCTGCAGGTCCTTTTAATGCCACGAACAGAGCAGCGGATTTATCCTCCATGCTCCAACGGTTTGCTGTAGCTGTCTTCTCGAACTGGAGCTTAAAAACTTGGAAAGGAATCGTGCCGTCAAAGGATGGAGTCTTTACCTTGGGAGCACTTGTCGAAGTAGCTGGACGATTCATCTGCAAATCTCGGAAGCGACCTTCCAACTCTTCTACCTTTGCTTCGACTTTCTCCTGAATTAGCTCATCGATTTTATCTTGTCGTTCCTCGATTTTATCCTGTCTCTCTCTGAGTTCTGCGTTATCTTGGAATAAATTCTCTTGTAGCTGAGTAATCTTTTCATCTAGCTGCAATGGCATGTACGTTTTCTGTGCTTCCAGCTGCGATGACATGCGTGTTTCCTGCACTTGCAGCTGGGATGAAATCTGTGATGACATCTGTGACATGGTAGCCAATAACGTGTTCATGTCCATAGCTGGTGATGACGACGGAGTCTTTTGCTGTTCTTCAACCTAACCATTCTTCCAAGAAATCTTATGGGACCGACCTGCTCAATACTGGTACCACCAACATGCAGCGTAAAAGCGTTTTTACACCCTCTGGCCATATACATAAATTTAGTTTTACTGACGTTAAAGGATAGACCCAAATCCCTACACGCCATTTGAAACCTCAAGACTTGGGTTTTCAAGTTATGCAAAGCACCGGCAGCTTTTTTATTGTGAGACATAATTAGGAAATCATCTGCAAACTGAAAGATCTGTGTTTGGTTATCCTCAATGACATGCAATCCCGCAGTGTAGACATTGAAAAGTATCGGCGACAGGCAGCTGCCCTGTGGTAATCCATTCTCCACCACTACCCTACTTCTACCAAGCATCAACGTTCTCCTATGCAGAAAGTTATAAACCCATTCATAAATACTAGGGGCCGGTTACTCAATGTCTGGTTAACACTAATCTCCGTTTAAACATCATTATCGACGTGTTCGGCTCCATGCATATAACATGGAGTCGGTAACGTCGATAACGATGTTTTACCGGAGATTAGTGTTAACCAGACATTGAGTAACGGAGTTTTAGCTATGTCTTTCACATCAATGACAATGGGGACATGATGACTACCACCAACAAAAGACCTCTTACATATCCACATTATGCTATCTGATATGCTAGTGAAGGACAGATCCAGAACACTACTGTGACCACTCTCCACCAAATCAGACACAGCAAAGAAAGTTCTTGAGCCATCATTCAAGCACCTCAACTATGAATTAACAACAAGCTCCTGTAATAATTTGCCTTTGGGGGAGTTGTTTGAGTCACCCCAGGCAGTCGTTCTGGCACTGAAGTCTCCGAGTAGGAGAACGTTACTCTGTGAGTTCAAAAATGCTATTAATTTTGTGATTTCACTTTCGAAGGTTATTGTATTAATTGAAGGCTGCAGATATATTGAACACAAGGTTAAATTACATGTGAGATTCCGAGTTTTTGCAATAATTATGTCTAAGGGTGTATGGTACCTAATTCTGCTGAACGATATATTCGCAAAACCTATCGCCACACCACCATAACCATTAGTTCTTGTTTTTTTGATCATTCTAAAGTTAATTAATTTATGATTATTGTTTTCCTCATCATGAGAGAAAATTTCTTGAAGACAAACTATATCAATGGAATTCTGCTGATTAAAAATGTCTATATACGCTTTGTTAGTTTTTAAGCTTTGACAGTTATATTGTAGTTAGTCTGTTCCAATAGCAGTCCGGTTTACAGGATTTAGTCAGAACTTACAGGAAGTCGTTCCTATTGACATAAAACCTGTAAGTGGGAACACTTTTGAAAGAGTAACTGAGCAACTGTTCCTAGTCAGAAGTTACAGGATTTAGTCCGGAGTTTTTTTTTAGTCTGTTCCTTTGAACTTCGGACTAAAACCTGTGGAACTGTCAAACTACAATTTTACTCTCTCAAATGAGAGTAAAAGGAGAACAGATGCAGAAGTGCATAGGAACGCAAAAAGCACTATTTCCTGTAAAAACGTCAGTCGGTTTGTTTACATGTCATTTGTACAACACTGATTTAGCTGAAATATCACTAAATAATTATTAAAATCTATACATATTCAAA